CCCGGCACCGAGGTGCTGGTCCACGACCAGGGCTTCGAGCACGCGGGCTACCCGGCCGTGGTGCAGGCCATCGCCGACGACTTCCGCCTCGTCGTCACCCGCGGCGGCGGCGGCGGCGACACCATCAGCCTCTCGGCCGAGGAGGTGTCGGTCCGGCCTGTTCATCCCTCTTCTTCTTCTTCGTCGTCATCGTCGTCAGAGTGAGCTTGCGGGCGTGTATGCTACACTTTTCCGCCCCAGCTTGAGAATGGCCGGAAAACCAATAAGCCGTTGGCTTGGGTGTTGCCACCCAGCCCCCTTTCCAAAAAGCGACAAAAGATGAAGAAGCGGAGAGGAGGAGGAGGAGGAGGCAAAGCTGAGGTTGGAGATGAAGAGGTGGAGTTGAGCGAGCTGGCCAAGTCCCACACAAAGGACGAAGAAGAAGAAGAAGATGACGACGAGGAGAACGGAGGTGACAACGTGGCAACGGAGCTGGACCTGCAGCTCAAGGCGCGGTTCCTCAACAAGACCAACGCGACCGTGTGCGTGCTGTGGCACCTCATCCCCATCATCGTCATGGTCTACGCCTTCTTGTACATCGGCACGCCCCCCCCCAACCTGTTTCATTTTTCATTTTTTGAGAACGAAAGCCAATAATTAAGATAACAATGTTAAGTATCTGATGAGTGTAACGGTTCCGGGCCAATGCAGGGGCGCTCTGGAATCCGGCGGCGCACACGAACAACCTGCAGATCCTCCTCCTCAACGACGACACGGGCTTCAACTTCAGCTCCGCCGCCTTTGCCGGCTCCGGCCTCGTCGACAACACCACCCTCGCTCTCCTCCGCGACTTCCCCACCAGTACGCGCGCCCGACCACGCCGGCGCAGCTCCTCCAGCTTTCCTCTCGTGTCCGTTTTCATCACTTTGGTCCCCGACACCGTGCGTGCTGTGTGTCGTGTTGTGTGCGCGTGTGCTGTTGACAGTCTCGGCGGGCGCGCTCATCACGCAGGAGCTGCTGACCAACCCCGCCACAGCCGACATCTTGGACTGGAAAGTGCAAAGTCCAGATCTCGTCGACAGGTACTCATGCCGTCGTGTGCGTGTGCGTGTGCGTGTGCGTGTGCGTGTGCGTGTGCGTGTGCGTGTCGCGTCGTGTTGTTGGTCGTGTCGTGGGTCGTGTCGTGCTGATGCGGGTATTGGCTGCGTGCGGGGTTGGCGTGGGTCGCGCAACGACCTGTCAGGGAGAAGCTGGAGGATTGCATCGAGCACGGGTGCGCGTGGGGCGCTCTCTACATTCCGCCGGACTTCTCGTCGACCATGTTCGAAGCCTTCGGGCCGATCAACATCACCGAACTCACCCAGCGGCTCTTCTTCCCCGACGGCGGTACCCTGCTGCTCCCTCCCCCCGCCGTCGATCGACACTGCATGCCGAAGACACACCTGACAGCTGGGGGGGGGTTCAGCCTACGCCGCCTACTCCAATCCCATCTACTTCATCTACGACGAGGGCCGGAACTACGTACGCACACACGACACGACCAACGACACGACCAACGACCAACAACCCGACACGACCAACGACACGACACGAGCTTGTGTTGACGTGGTGGGGGGTGTGTTGTGGGTGGTGCGGGTTCGCTCACACGACAGGCCACGTTGAGCATTGTGGTGAAGATCATGGACAAGATCTTCCGGTCGGTGTCCTCCGGCATCTCCCAAAAGTTGCTCACCACCTCCCTGGGGCCGATCCTGGTACCCCCCCCCCCAACCACTACCACCACCATTACCACCACCTATTCCAGAGCACTTCCCACCACCATGCA